CATATTTTCTAAAACGTGTAGACTATTCCCTAACCCTGTCTGGAGACCTAAGTTTTAGCTAGGCTGTCCCATAAACCCAGCGGAAGTTCCCCCAGCCCATCACCTAGTTGCTCTGGGCCTTGGTGTCCTCTAGAAAGCAGCAGGTGTAGACGCTGTGGCTTCGGTGCCTTCCAGGCTCAGCTGGGCCCATTCCGGGGGAAATGAATAATAGCCACCCCTTCTTTGGAATTGCGCCTCCAACCCCTGCCAGTCTTGGTGTTCTTGCTCACAAGCTCAAGGCCTCCCTGCCTGGCAGAGATTACGTGGGGAATTCCAGGCAGCCCTTAATAGCAGCTTTTATGAACTCCTCACCTTCCCTTTTAAAGATGAGAAAACTGAGGCCCGGAGATGTGAGTTGTTTGGCAAAGGGCTCTCCTGCTGTGACCCGAGCCATGCAGCCACTTGAGCCGTGATCCCATCCGGAAACGGAGCACATGGACCTCATCCCCACCCCCAGCAACCTGACTCCATCGATTACCCGCCAGGGTGATGAATTTACCAGGACTCCACCATTTAGGGTAATTCTGGTATCCTAGGCATGTGTTAAAAGCTTAACTTTTCCCATAACAGCCTGACAGGTGGGTGCAGATGAGGAAACCATGGCCCAGAGAAGGTTAGGTGGCTTCCTCACAGAGCCAGCTTTCCAAGCGAGGTCTGCCTGATTCCAGACCTGCAGCCCCACCCACCATACTGGTTTGTCTGGGGTCTTTAGGGTAAATTTCCCAGGGCTGAGTTAGAAGCTTCGTGCCCTGTCATCTTCCCTGTAACCCCACCCTGAAGGGAGGGGACTGGCACTGGGGATGCCAGGGAGCTGAGCAGCCCTTCATTGCAGAGTTCCTCACTCCATAGCAGTTTCTGGAACCTCGGACCGTTTTTCCGGGCAGCTCCATCACAAAAGAAAACACCAAATGCCTTCCTTAAAATAGATTCTGGGGGAAGGGATCTTTGACAAGCAAAGCCTTCAGGCTGTGTGGGAATCAGCAGGTTATGAAGGTTTTTGGGGATAGGACGGACTCTCCCTACCGGCAGCTCGGAGTCCCAGGGGACCCTGAGCTTCCGTGGGCCACGGTGTCAGCGAGTGCGTGGGCGGGGGGGGGGGGCCTTCAGCTGCCCTGTCCAAAACCTGGGGCCTTAGAATGTTGTGTTAAGCTTTATTTTTAAAAACAAAAGGGAAATGGACAATGCGGGCACTTTTTTTTTTTTTTTTTTTATGAGAGGGAAAGAGCACAAGGGTTAAACATGAGGCCGGCCCTGCCTCTGGCAAATCACTTTACTTCTGGAACTTGGGTCTTCACATCTCCCAGATAGGAAAACCAGCCTCCGTCTTGCGGAATGAGCATGAAAATTACATAAGATAATAAATTGAAGGTGCCTGAAAAATGTCAATGCCCAATGGAGCGTCATGTAAGGCACTGCCCACCAGGGTGGTCCGCCAGGGGTACAGAAGTCCCAGCAGAGGCCCAGCGCAGAGCATCAGTTTTGCTCAGAGGGGAAGAAATGTTTGTTATAATTCAGCGTCATGGAGGACAATGTAAAATTTACATCTATTTTAAGACAACAAGATGCCTCAAGAACATTTGACGGGGACAGTGGGTTCACTCTCTCCTGTTGTCAAGGGTGCTTCGGAGGGTGAGTTCCAGAGGCCTTGCTGGTCATGTGGGTGGGAGGGTAAGGGCCACCACTCTCACCAAAGCTGGAGGGTTGTGGGGAATATTTTCAGTGAGTAAGGGGGTTCTGAATGGTGGAATTTTGATGTGAAGGTTCTGAACCCCCAACTCAGAATTGACTGATAATGGACTTGTGTAAACATCAGTTCAAACTGATTAATTTAACTGGCTGCATCGTGGTGGACTGCTTCACCCATTCCCCTCCCCCTCCCCCCCCCTGCAGAGTTGGAGGGAGTAGGGGCTTCCTGCAGGAAGCCATCCAGAACCCCAAGTGGCCCTCTGCCTCCTCCCCTCCGGGAATCTGCCCACAAGGCAGACATTTAGGACCAAACCAAGTGGTTTTATTTGTCTTCCCTTTGTCCAAAGGTCTCTGCTCCTTTAACAAGCAAACAGCATTCAAAGAGGTCAGAGCTCTGATCTCTGATGAGGACAGTAGGAGGAGTGGAGCAAAGGGCCACCTGGTATAGAGGAAAGAAGCAGGATTGGAAGTCAGAGAGCTGTGTCTCAGCCCCACCTCTATCCTGGCTGGGTGACCTTGGACAAGCCATGCTACCTCTCAAGACCTTAGCTATCTATGAAAAGGAGAGGTTCTCCTCATTACTACATAGGTACACCTCCCTGACCTGCTTACAAATTGACCTCATTGTTTCATATTTGCCTTGGTTAAGAACCCTTCTGGCCTTTTGTTAACTACATCCTTTCAAAACTTAAAAGTCAGCAAGGAGTTTCCCCTAGCCATAAAAGTTCATAAGTCACCTTTCTTCAATAGGAACACTTGTCAGAAGATCTTTAGTGAAGGATTACTATCCCAGGATTTTACTGAGTTGAATTGAGAGCTGATGTGCTCCAAGGACTGTGGGTCAGTGAAAGAAAACAGGAGACCAATGTCTGGAAGGAAGGAATTCCAGCAGCACATGATGAGCCTAAGAGGCCTTTGAGATACAGAGGAGGCAGTGCTACTTGAGCTGGGTGTTAAAGAACAGGAGTCTCCCAGGCCAGCAGGGGTGGGGAAGGAGGTATTCCCGGAGAATGGAGCCACTTGTAAAAAGCACAGAAACACATAAGTGATGCATTCAAGAACTGTAAGTAGGTAGACAGGTATGCCTGGCAATAAGCATGCAACACTGAAAGTAGCCAGAGTCAAGGATCAGAGAGGTGGGCAGGCACCCAGATGGTGCTGTACGTTTTAGACTTTACTGAGGGATTAGAACTCAGCCTGTAGACAGTAGAGTACCACATGGAGTTTTAGGCAAGGGATGGGCATGATCCAAATTGTTGTTTGGAAAGATCACTAAAGGCAGAGACCAGTAAAACAACGTTTGATTATAATTAGAGTCTGAACTAGAGAAACGGTGGAGAGGATGAATACAAGAGCCATTCAAAGACTAGGCTTACATTAGAGAGCCCTTGGCTGACTGACCTTCTGTTGCATAAAGCACCACCAAAAGTTTGGTCTTCTAGACCAGACTGCTCACCCCATTCCCCACTAACACCAGTGGACTCACTGAGTATCCCCATGTACAGCTCCTTCCCTTTTCTTTCCTTCATTACTTCGCTCCTTTTTTCTCCTCCATCCCCCCCTTTTTTCTTTTTTTTTAATATATTTTTTAATTTATTTCTAGGAGAGAGAGAGCGTGAGCAGGGAAGGGTCAGAGAGAGAGGGAGACACGGACTCTGAAATAGGCTCCAGGCTCTGAGCTGGCAGTCAGCACAGAGTCCGACGTGGGGCCGAACCCACAAACCGTGAGATCATGACCTAAGTGAAAGTCGGACGCTCAACCGACTAAGCCACCCAGGCACCTCCCCCTCCTTTTTTCAATTAAGTAGGCTCCACACCCAACGTGGGGCTTGAACTCATAATCCTAAAATCAAGAGTCACATGCTCTGCTTACTGAACCAGTCAGGTTCTTTCTTTGCTCTTTTTTAAAATTGTGGTAAAATATACGCAACATGAAACTTAACCATTTTGAGTGTTATTAAGTGCTCAGTGGCACTGAGTACATGCACGCAGTACAGCATCACACCATCCATCTCCAAACTCATCTTCCCAAGATGATAACTCCCCATTCCTCCTTTTCCCCCACCCCTGTCTACCACCATCCTACATTCTGTCTATAGATTTGACTCAAGTAAGCGGAATTATACAATATTTCTCCTTTTGTGTCTGTTTCATTTTGCTTAACACAATGCCTTTAAGGTTCACTCATGCTGTAACGTGTCAGAATATCTTTTTAAGGCTGAATAATACCCCATTGTACATACATACCACGTTTTGCTTATCTATTCATCTGTTTGGACATTTGGAGCTGTTGTGAATGAATTTGTTGAGAGCATCAGTGAACAAATACCTGTTCAAGTCCCTGCTTTTGAGTGTATGCCCAGAAATGGAATTGCTGGGTCATATAGTAATTCCACATTTAATTTTTTTGGCCAGTCAACATACTGTTTTACACTGTGGCTGCATCATTTTACATTTCCACCAGTGAACAAGGGTTCCGTGAAATCACTGATTTTAAAATGACATTTTCCCCTGATTACATGTTAACTGCAGAACGTTTAGAAAATGCAAGAAAACAAAGTGTGGAAAATAAAAACCCCTTTTTTCTAACTACCCAGATGTACATTTGCCCTGAATGCGAACTATCCCCAACAGGAAGGGAAAGGGGTCGTTTCCCTAGAAGGATTCTCTTGCAGTGTTGGAGAGTGTGGTCCAAGACCTCATCGTCAGAGCCCGGGTCCTGGCTGTCCCACGACCCCAGTCATCAGTAGCGTCCATGCAGTTAAACTGGCTTCTGAGCCATTTTCGTGGGGTGTACCTGGAAGGGTCACAGGGGCGACATATGGTTGTCACATTCTCTGTGAATCTGCCTCCTCATCTTTAAAAGCCACCTCAGTGTTAATAGGGCAAAACATAAAATGTCTGAGCAAAGTGATTTTTCTAGAGAAACGGGTTCTACTAACACACCATCTACATCTTCAGAATAGTTTCCCTCTTTGGACCATGGGGCACCCGAGGGCGAGGATTTGATCCCTCAAACAGGAGCACCAGTGACAAGCAAGCAGAGAGCGGAGAAGTTCCCGCCTCCTTTCATTTCTCCAAGTTCCCATTGGCTGATTCCCACTGTCGATCCTTCACGTCCCCACGCTCTCCTCTTATCACCGCGCGCCGCCGGCCTCTCGTCCTGTGCTCTCATTGGTCCTCTCCGCAGTCGCTCTGCGCCAGGGGCGTTCCAGAGGCAGCCACTGAGAGTTGTTGAATTCGGGTTTTAAAAAACGCCGCCAGTGAATCTTGCGACCGCGGAGGTTCCGGGAGCGGCCGAGCACGCACCCCATCGGGGCTCGCGGCCAGGACGCTCCCGGGCTTCCCCCGGACGCCAGCCTCTGTCCCCGGACCCCGAAGGCCGCGAAGGAGCCGCGGGGCAGCCACTCTCGGCGCCCGCCATGGGCCCGCGCCGCCGGAGCCGCAAGCCAGAAGTCCCGAAGAGGCGCGCCGCAAGCCCGACCCCCCGCACCCCCCGGCGGGGCCCCTCAGGTAACCGGCCGCGGCCCCTTGCCCTCGAGCTCTGCAACCTGGCTGAGAGGTGGGCACGGCTGATTCCGCGTGCCCATTTCACAGAGTGAACACCGCGCTCGCGTGCGTAGTCCCAGGTCCGAATCTCCGGACTTCCGGCTGGCGCTCCTCTGCGGGCAAGCAAAACCGTGCGGCCGTAGAGCATTTGCTCCAGCCGGCCAAGTCCAGGTCCAGCGAGGGACCGGGGGAAGGCAGTTCCGAGGGGGAGAAAGGCCTGGCCCCTAATATTAAGTCTTACTACTACTACTAGCATTTATGGAGTACTTACCACTAACTGGGCCTTGTGTTCAACTCTTTAGGCGAATTACCGCAACTTTATATTGTGCCCATTTTACAGATGAGAAAACTGACGCGCTGGCAGGCCCGGGAACTTGAACAGGCTTGCTCTAGCAGACAGGAGTTAAAAAAAAAAAAAAAAATCAGTGTTTGTACTTTTTTAAATTGCAAAATTATTGTCTGCTTTTTGTGACAGTTTCAAACAACAATTCTACTTTTAGAATCCAGGTATTGTTGTATGTGTTTTAGATTTTGTTTTTTTCTTCAGTGAGTGGCTGTATTGGGGCCTTAAGGGGAGTGTTCTCACCTTATTCTCTTCCTGAGATTATGGGCTGGGAAAGAAAACTGGTCTATGGTCCCTAGTTTCTTTCTTTCTTTTGTTTAATGTTTATTCATTTTTGAGAGAGAGAGAACATGAGCAGGGGAGGGGCAGAGACAGAGACGGAGACACAGAATCTGAAACAGGCTCCAGGCTCTGCTGTCAGCACAGAGCCGAACACGGGGCTGGAACTCCGCAATGGCGAGATCAGGACCTGAGCCGAAGTCGGACACTTAACTGACTGAGCCACCCAGGTGCCCCTGCGGTCGATAGTTTCTGTCCTGCAGTCGGTGGATGGGAGACCCACGGGGCAGAGCTGAACCTTGGTGCAACAACTGCTTTACTTGTCTTCTGCCGCATAGTTAAGAGCAGGGTGGAAAAAAATAAATCTAATGGGTTATTTCCTTTCCTAAACATTAATAACCTTTGCATCCAGGCAACTTGCTGAATTCTCTCCTTAATTCTAACTAGCATTTAGTTGCTTCAATTGAAATGTTTAAGTAGGCTATTATAGTACCTACAGATAAGGACTTCTGAATCTCCTTTTTCATTTTTATACATTTTGTTTCTTAGTGTATTGTACTAAGGAGGCCGTGAGATTAGTATTGAAATACGAGCAGGGTTTTGGCCATCCTTGTTCTGCTTCTGATTTTAACGGGGTGTTGCTGATGATGAACTTGTCTCATGCTTGCGTCACTGAGGAAATAAGAAGCCTCGAGATTGGATTCCCCTTGTCTTCTCACAGCAGAGAACCCAAGGCATCCCCTTCCTATTAAAAGCTACTCCTCCTCCGTGGGCATGTTGGTCGCATTTCTCACTGCTCCTGGGCTTTCTCTTATCCTCTCCACCTGCACTTAGAATTACATTCTTACTGCTTACATTGGCATTCTACAAATGCTCATTCTGTCTGAATAAAAAGGGCAGGGGTATTTCCTGCCCCCACATTCCTCGCCTCTCACACTCCCCGTTTTTCTCTACTGCCTTTCATAGCTAATTTTTAAAAAGTAGCCATATGTAGGAGTACACACACATGTGTCTCCCCTCTTCCCAGGCACCCTTGAACCCATTCCAGTCGGACTCCCCACAACTACTTTCCCCTCCTTCTAGTGCACTTAAAGTACTCTCATCAAGGTCACTGGCTACTTTAGTGTGCTAAATGCAATGGACACGCTGTGTCCTTTCCTTGCTCTGAGAAAGAAGCATTTGACACAGTGGGCCATTTTCTCCTAGGCACACTCTATCCCCTCGGCGCCCCTGACCCACACATTCTGCTGCTTGGTGTATTTTACTGTCTGTGCCACCTCTTTACCAACTTATTGTTGGACTTCCTCGCTGTCCGGTTCCTTTCTTTCCCGCCCCCAGGGGGACTCGTCCATTCCTATGGCTCTAAACACCTCACCTCCATGCCTCCATTGACAGCGCCCACATTTACATCTCCAGCCCAGATCTCTCCTCTGACTCCAGACCCCTATGTCCAGCTGCCTTTCCACCTGAGGGCTCCAGGGTCTGCCCAGTAGAACACATCTAAAGCCGAACTTTTATGGGGCTTCTGGGTGGCTCAGTCGGTTGGTGGGGCATCCGACTTGGGCTCAGGTCATGATCTCACAGCTTGTGGGTCAATCCCAGCATCAGGCTCTGTGCTGACAGCCAGCTCAGAGCCTGGAGCCTGCTTCGGATTCTGTGTCTCCCTCTCTCTCTCTGCCCCTCCCCTGCTCGCATTCTGTCTCTCTCTGTCTCTGAACAATAAATAAATGTTTAAAAAAAGAAAAAAGTAGGCTCCACACCCAACAGGGGCCTCACATTCACAACCATAAGATCAAGATGCTCCACCAACCGAGCCAGCCAGGTGCCCCCCAACTACCGAATATTTAGTCCCAGTTCTTTTCCACGATCTCTGATTGGCTTTCATAACCACTTGTTCTGGGCATAGATTTCATGCCTCCTCTCACCCCTCTGAGGTTATTACACACATTGCTCTCAAAGTCTCTTTTTTTTTCTCTTCACTCAGATCCCTCCAGTATTGGTTATTAGTTGAGTTTGGTTCCTTCCATGCTGTCGTCCTTCTTAACACTGGTGATACCGAGTTGTGCTAATAATCTTTCCATTTTCTGTGACTGCCACGACTGTCTGTTACAGGCTGCCCCCAAATGACTGGATTGTGGACCAGTGGTCAGGAGGGGCAGATGCCCGTAACCTGACTCCTGAGCTGGAGGCCTCCCTCTTTCTCGGAAATGTCCCCAGGTCCCTGGACACTGCCCATTTCTCTGACCCACATTCCTCACCACCAGAGAGAAAGTCTCCAGTGCCAGCTGCATTGCACAGGCCTCTCTGGGTTGTCCCCCTGTCCCCATCCACCCATGCAGCTCTTCTAACACTTTGTAGTTAGTTCACTATTAAATCCATTCCATGGAACTACTTGGTTTGGCACTTCTCTCTTCAGCTGGGCCTTGAATAACTTTTTTTTTTTTTTAAATATATTTATTTTCTCAAAGAGACAGAGACAGAGCATGAAAGGGTAAGGGGCAGAGGAAGAGGGAGACAAAGAATCGGAAGCAGGCTCCAGGCTCCAAGCTGTCAGCACAGAGCCCGATGTGGGGCTCGAACTCACAAGCTGTGAGATCATAACCTGAGCCGAAGTCAGATGCTTAACTGACTGAGCCACCCAGGTGCCCCTGGAATAACATTTCTGAAGCAATTTTATCCTTCAAAATGTTCGTTTTCATGGGCTTTTTTCTTTTTTTCTTTTTTCTTTGTTCAGCTTATGAGAGGTTCATTCATTTTTGTTTGTCCTTGGTTTTATGTACCTAGCAACAGTACTGTTTTTTGTTTTATTCTTTTTTTCATTAATTTATTTTATTACCTTGAATATTTGGTGTCTTCTTTTGGTTTATTTTCATAATTCTGTTGTTAACACTTGCATTGAACACTTGGCTGTCTTTCAACGTCCTTGTTCTCTAAGAGAGAATCAATCTGGAGCCTTTGCGTGTTCTTCTAGTGCTATTTAGCTATAGCATAAGTTTTGAGACGTAGACTTTTGATTCGTTTCTTTTTTTTTTAATTTTTTTAATGTTTTACCTATTTCTAGGAGAGAGAGAGAGAGAGAGAGACAGTGTGAGCAGGGGAGGGTCAGAGAGAGAGGGAGTCACAGACTCTGAAACAGGCTCCAGGCTCTGAGCTGGCAGTCAACACAGAGCCCGACGCGGGGCTCGAACCCACAAACCGCGAGATCATGACCTAAGTGAAAGTCGGACGCTCAACCGACTAAGCCACCCAGGCGCCCCAGACTTTTGATTCGTTTCTAAATAATCTAATTTCAATTAGGTTTCCTTAAGTTAGAAGATTTTTTTCCTTGTGTTTTTTAATTTCAGATCAGAGAGTCTGACTTTTTGACCCTACTTCGGGGAATATTTTAAGATCTTTTTTCTTTTTTTGTTGTTGTTGGAACCAGGCCAAAAGCTCTGACTCCATTACCCCAGTGACCCAACACTGGCACTGAGTTATGCCACCTCTGAGGCCCCTCATTGGCCACAAATAAGCCCTGGCTAATTGTCTTCCCCTCTCAGCCTCAGGATAACCGAGACCAGGAATTGTGCTACGTAACCTCTCCAATTCTTTCCAGCTCTGAAAAAAAAAAAAAAAAAAAAAGACCTAAACACAAACTCAGTTTCCAATCTAGATGGCAAAGATAGAAGAGATGCCCAAAGTACTGCAGGGCTCAGAGGAAGAAGGTAACCCATCAGTTTGAAGGGGGCTGGGGATCAGGAAAGGCTTCACGAAAGAGTTGGCATTTGAGATAATACCCTCAAAGGATCACCCCTTCCTTTAACACATATTTACTTGGCATCTATCTACTATTTCTGGTTGCTGAAGATAATGGCAGGAAATAACAGACCAGAATCCCCACTTCTGCAGAGCGTATTACAGACTAGTGATTTGACAGTTTGCCTGTCTCCGCCAAGCTGTGAGGTACCACCTCCTGACCCTTACACTTTATGACTCAACTTTTTTGCTCAGGCACTTCTTCCCGTCAGCGCGGTCCCCGGAGATATCGGGTTCTGAAGGAGATCCGAAAGCTTCAGAAAAGCACAGACCTGTTGTTAAGGAAGAGCCCCTTTGGCCGCCTGGTGAGCTCCACCAACCCCCGTGCTGCCTTCTTTCTTTAAATTCCGAGGTATTGGGGACCCTGTCATCTCTTGTCTCAATGGCAAAGGGTCCTCTCCTCTAACCTGGCAGAGGATTTTTCGCCTTTTGAAAACATGAGCCCTCCAAGGGCTCCTTACAGTTCTTTATGGAATTAATTTCTAACCCCACGCCCTCTGAAACTGTTCTTTGGTCATAGAAATAGGAGCCCTCTCATCCATCCACGCTTTGATCCCTCTCCCTGCCCTGGGAGACTGCCTCCTCCGCTCCCCACCACCAGTAGGAGACCGACCAGTTCCTCAGCTCCCAGGAGTTAACACGGGCTACTGGTTAGGTTCTAAGATTAAGGGCCAGGAAGGTATAACAGAAGTGAGGATTCATGGAAACTCATGGAGAGAGTCTATCTTCGATTGAATCTCTCTTCTTTAACTCTTCACCCTTCCCCACACTCCCCTTCTCCCTTGCTCCCTCCGCCCCATCCCCACTCCTTCACAGGCGAGAGAGATCTGTGTTAAATTCACTCGCGGTGTGGACTTCTGCTGGCAAGCCCAGGCCCTGTTGGCCCTACAGGAGGTAAGCAGGGGCCCCGGGGCCACCTGGGTGAGGATGGGAGAAAGGCAGCCCGGAAGGCCACGGCGCTGCCGAGGAGCGTCAGGCACCGACTCTTGCCTCTTACCTCCGGACAGAGCATCAGGGAACACGGGGTTTGGAGGCCAGATCCTCATTTGCTGGTAGCAGGCATCCCAGGCAGGCTTCACCCTCGTTCCCTGGAGACTAGGCGCAGCGGGGCTCCAAGAGCACAACAGCACATGCACGTCCCCCCTCCTGTGGCCGCCAGCTCTGGACTTGTCTCTCTGCCCCCAGGCTGCGGAAGCCTTCCTGGTTCATCTCTTTGAGGACGCCTACCTCCTCTCCCTACACGCCGGCCGCGTCACTCTCTTCCCGAAGGATGTGCAGCTGGCCAGGAGGATCCGGGGCATTCAGGAAGGGCTTGGCTGAGCCCCGCCGCCTGTCTCCGTAAGCCATAAGCCTTTCCTGTCGGCCAAAGAGAGAGTGAGAGAGCGAGCGCTCACTCGATCTCTCCGGGGAGGAAGCACCCAGCGTCTGTCGCCGGGATGGGAGTTTCCCTAACGGACGTTCCACCCTTGGTCCCTTGCTGTCTCAGCCCGCTTTGTTCTCTAGGAAAGGTTTGACTTGGTTTTAGCTTGAGTGCCTGGGACTCTGTGGCTCATGTGCACTTTTGTCCCATGTTGAATAAAGATCTTTATTTAGTCATGACCAGATGACATGAATCTGTCAGAGTTCAGCCTCTGTTTCACAAGGACCAGATGACCCATTCTGATTAAGAGAAGGTTTTCTTAACTTTGGAAAATGCTTTGTTTGGTATCAAACACGATGCCTGAATTTCGGGGATGATACCAGGGACTCTGCCCGGAGCCAAGAACCGACGCACGGAGTTCAAGGAGATGCCTGGGCTCGTTTCGGAGCAGGGTACCTGTTGCTCTTGTTACACTGGTTGTTTTAAGAAGAAGACTGCATGGCTTTCCTCTGTAACAGAGGTGATCTCTGACAACACCAACATCATGCCAAAGGACTGAGAGTTATTTTTAGAGAAAGAGACTCCAAGGTTCACTTCAGTTGGCGAATTATTCACACGACTGCAGAATGAGTTTGAAGACCTCAGATTTTCAGGTTATGGGAAAGAAGGGTATTTACTTATTGTTTTAGATCTTCCTGTACCTTTAAATCTTTACGTTCTGATGTTCTGGTCCCTCTTAGTAAATTCCTATCAAAGTCATTCAGAAATTCGAGCTTGCAGGTTTTATTTTCTTCTTTTTCATAAACCATAGAAGACGTGTCTTAATTTTTACACTTTAGAATTTTTCATTCCAGGATTTTAAAGTGCCTTTTCAAAGTTTTTACAAAGGCGTTTTTATAACTTCTTTGTGGAGAGAGAATAAAAATAAGAATAATTCTTTAATGACAAAAATGTAAAGCAAAGCTACTGTTATAGCATTAGAGACGCGACGTGTTGTGTGTATGAATGTTCAGTTCTTCATTTGTACGCTGTTTTGCGAGCAGCCACTACTTAAATAAGAGAATTGAGGGACGTGTTTTTGCCTCCCATGGAGTAGAATATGTGTGAGCGGATAAAAACCTTGCCCTTCTATTGTAATAACTGAAAGCAGTTTAAGAAGTTACCAGAGAAATGGAAAGGTCGGCTTTGAGATTTTGCCCGCGACGGAAATGATTAGCAAGGGTAGACTTCTGACAGTGATATGTCTGGCGACCAAATTCCAGGACTAGCTGAAGGGAAGGACCAAGTTCTATCACTGAATAAACTTTAACCCTTTGGAAAAACCTTCCTGTTCAACATCAATTCCTATTTATGCAGACATTTGAATAAAGCTTATCTATCGATGAATATATTTAAAATTCTTGTCAGAGTTTTATTAATTAGAAGGCTATAGTCTTCCTCTAGTTTTCTTTCATTTGACACCTCTGCTCTCTTAAATTGTACGAAGCAGGATTGCCTGGTTGGCTCAGTCGGTAAAGCAGGCAACTCCTGACTTTAGGGATTGTAAGTTCAAGCTCCAGGTCAGACATGGAACCTTCTTTAAAAAAATTTTTTTTTAATAAATAAATAAAATGTACTACCCAGGACACACGTACAACACAGGTCACACGCCCAGCAGGATACACCAGGTAGTACTTAGAGGGTCACATGAGAATAAATAGTTTAAATCATGATAATGGGGCACCTGGGTGGCTCAGTCAGTTGAGCGGCCAACTTCGGCTCAGGTCATGATCTCACAGTCCTTGGGTTCGAGCCCCGCGTCAGGCTCTGTGCTGACAGCTCAGAACCTGGAGTCCGCTTCGGATTCTGTGTCTTTCTCTCTCTTGGCCCCTCCCTGGCTCATTCTCTGTCTCTCAAAATAAAGATATAAAAAACAATTTTTAATAAATGAATAAATCATGACAATGTCATATAATACTGTTACAGTTTACTGTAAACAGTACTTATGTTGCTGGAGTTTTGTGTTTATTTTTCTCGGTGATTCCATCAATACCTTTAATCTTTCCATTTGATTTTTTAATTTCTGCTTTCACATTTTTAATGTCTAAGTACTCTTTATTTTTGAAATATTTCTTTCTTATAGCATCCCAATCAGTGTTCACTCAGAGAGAGAGAGAGGAAAGAGGGAGGGAGGGAGGGAGGGAGGGAAGGAAGGAAGGAAGGGAGGGAGGGAGGGAGGGAGGGAGGGAGGGAGGAAGGAAGCTGCATATTCCAACAAGGAAGAACTTAGTGGAAAGGAATGGTTAAATGATGCCGGGGCACCCATGGTCCACACCAGGGCTGCTCTGCCGGAAGCACCCCCCCCACCCCCAGCGCCTTGTTAGCCACACTGTTGCTACTGAGCAGGAACTCAGATCCCCAAGGACTCCCTTGTCCTCTGCTGCTTCTGCAGCCACAGGCCCTGCCAAACCGCAAAAGACAAATATCTCCTTTTTCCTCCCACCTTCCAGGCCCCACCAGCATTTTCCAGGGGCAGAACCAGGCGGGCACAGCCGCAGGAGAGCCTGGGGATACACTGGCCCCCCCTCACCCCTCTGTGTTACAGACAACTCAAAGGGGCGAGAAGGGAGCCTGGAGCCTCCAGAAACCTCATCTGCTCACGTCCCAGTCTGGTTTTGTGGGTGTGATACCATTTTAAAGGTCTAATGTTTTTGTTTTGCCACATAGTAACTAACTCTTTCAAGTGGACGGTGTTTCCTCCTCTGTTCTGGTCCGTCTCTCATAAGGTTTTCCTTTAATGGAAAACCTTCCCCTTATGAGGAAGAATGGCACACAGAGAAGCTACTGGGGGCTCTGAGCATGCCGGCAGACTGGCCGGCAGGTGTGCAGGGCTGCCCCCCAGGGAGAGTCGCCCAGCCTGCGGGGAGGAGGTTCCCGGGTCTAGTTGCTGCCTGCATGAGAGCTGAGGAAATCCGTATTTAAAATCCCACTGTGCGGGGGCGCCTGAGTGGCTTAGTCGATTAAGCATCCGACTTTCGCTTAGGTCGTGATCTCGCGGTTCGTGGGTTCAAGCCCCGCGTCGGGCTCTGTGCTGACTGCCAGCTCAGAGCCTGGAGCCTGTTTCAGAGTCTGTGACTCCCTCTCTCTCTGACCCTCCCCTGCTCACGCTGTCTCTCTCTCTCTCCTAGAAATAAATAAAACATTTAAAAAAAAATTTTTTTAAATCCCACTGTGCATACGCTTCCCTATTCTCCCTGCCTTGCCTCCCGTTCCCCTGGGGTCCAGAGATGCTCATTTCTTTCTTCTGTTGAGAATAGGTCTCCAGGCTTGTGCTGGGATGCGGGGGAGAGTCGGCCGGTGACAGTGTCTGGACAGGAGCACCGAGGAGGCTGCCTCCTAAGCTGTAACCAGTCCTCTCTGCTAGCCCACCCCGTGCACGCCCCATTGCAGAGGGATGGGGCCCCCAGCTGCCAGGCCTTATGAAGACTTTACCGTGAGGGTTGTGACAGTCCTCATTTTCCCCACTGCTGCCTGAGGGTCCCGCTCTCGTGGGGCTGTGGGGTCAGTTGCTGTTGTCCATCTGCCTCCTGACTTTTAGGATTTTGTTAATTTCCCCCTCTCCTCATCTCCCCGTCCCTTGAATTCATGTTGAGGCTCTGCCTCTAGAATTGTAGATTGACAGCTATTTTCTCTCTTCACACAAGAAAGCGGGCTCCGCTGTTGTCTGAGCTCTGTTTTTGCTGCTAATAAGTCAGCCGTCAGTCTGACAGTTGCGCCTTTGACGCCAATGTTATTTTTCTGACTCTCTCTCCTTAATAGATGTTTCTTCGCTTTTGGTGTTCTGCCATGTCATTATGACTTGTCTTACGGGTGGACTTCCTTGGCATCCGTTGGGCTTCCTGGATAGCAAAGGATGTCTTTTCGTCAATTTTGGAAATTTTTCAATCATTATCTCTTCAAACAATGCCTCTCACCATTCTCTCTCCTCAGTTTCTGGATCACAGGTTTTCTGTCTGCGCGACTTGATTACCACATCCCCTCTGTGTTCCTCCTTTTCGCTATCAGTGCCGCCCACCTCATTGTTTCTTCTGCCCTAACTCACAATTAATTGATTTCCTTTCAGCTATGTGTCTAATCCACTTTTAAAGCAGACCAATATCCTCATTTCAGTTACTCTATTTTTTTTATTGTTGTTCTAGAATTTCTATTCAGCTGTTTTCAAAATGGTGATGTCGTATTTTTTTTATTTTTTTAAAATGTTTTATTTATTTCTGAGAGAGAGACAGAGTGTGAGCAGGGGACGGTCAGAGAGAGAGAGGGAGACACAGAATCTGAAACAGGCTCCAGGCTCTGAGCTGGCAGCACAGAGCCCGAGGCGAGGCTCGACACGAGTCCGGACCCACGAACCGCGAGATCATGACCTGAGCTGAAGTCGGACGCTTAACCGACTGAGCCACCCAGGCGCCCCATATCTTATTTTATTTTTAAGTAGTCTCTGCACCCAGCTTGGGGCTCAAGCCTGCAACCCCGAGATCGAGACTCAAATGCCCTACCAACTGAGCCAGCCAGGTGCCACTATCATGTCACTTTTTATAGTTCCCAGTTCCCTGCTGAAAATGTCAAGCTTGGTTTTTATCTTTTAGCATAGTAAGCACCGTGCCCTGCAGACTGTGTTTGATAATGGGTCCCTGTGAATCTGTTTCTGTGTGTGTCTTCTGTTAATTCTCACTCATTGCAGTTTTTCCTGTGTGGTGCTTGATTACCTTTGATAGTATGCCTGACACATCTATATGAGGAAATAATCTGAAACTTAGAATGATAGCTTTCTCTAGAGAGCATTGTTTTTCTGTTTGTGTTTGTGTTTTTTTTCCTACCTGGTGCCTGGAGGCACTAAACATTTAGAACCAACTCAATCCAATTTCAGAGCATCAGATTTCCTGATGCACCCAGATGATTCAAAGTCAAGGTCTATCTCACGTATGAATTTCTTCTCATTCACCTTATTCCTGCGGTACAATCAGTCTGCTCATCCTGCTTACCTTGGTAAGCTTGTACTTCAACCTTTACCTCCCTAACCCCACAAGGCTGTCAAAAGCATGGCTCATTTCTTGAGTACTTTTTTTAGGACTGGCAAACATCCCCACAAGAGAGTGTTAGGCCAAATCTGCTGTTAGGCTCATCTCTAGATTTCCAACCTCTCTTTGATCTTGGAGCAGTAACTACTAACAATTAATCAGTATCTTGTTAGCAGTGTAATGCTTTTAAGAAAAAAAAATATGTTTGTCCAGTTTTTTCAGTTATCTTCAGTAGGAGAATGGTTCAAATGACCACTGGCATAAAGACAGACAGACCAATGGAATAGGATAGAATAGAGAGCCCAGAAATAAACCCTTCCATATATGGCCAAATGATTTCCAACAGTGAGGAAAAGAGAGTCTCTTCAACAAATGTTGCTGCGGAAACTGGATATTCCCATGCAAATGAATAAAGTTGGACCCTCCCCTAACACCATACAGAGAAATCAGCTCAAAATGGACCAAAGACCTAACAGTAAGAGCAACAAATTATAAAATTCTTAGAAGAAAACATAGGATAAAATCTTCACAACATTGGATTTGTGATTTCTTGGATACGACATGAAAAGCACAGGCAACAGAGGAGAAAAACAGACAAATTGGGCTTCATGAAAATTCAGAACTTTTGTGCATCAAAGGGCACTATTAACAGAGTTACACAGCAACCCCCAGGAAGAGAAAATATTCACAAATCATATCTGATAATAGATTAATATCAGGACATATAGGAAACCAAAATTCAAACACAAAAAAAAAATAAATGACTTGATTCAAAAATGGGTCAAAGAAGGGCGCCTGGGTGGCTCAGTCAGTTGAGCATCTGACTTCGGCTCAGGTCATGATCTCACGGTTCGTGGGTTTGAGCCCTACGTCGGGCTCTGTGCTGACAGCTCAGAGCCTGGAGCCTGCTTCAGATTCTGTGTCTCCCTCTCTCTCTGCCCCTCCCCCATTCGCGGTCTGTCTCTCAAAAATGAATACACATTTTAAAAATAAATAAATAAAATAATAAAAATAAACTAGGCAGGGGCGTCTAAGTGGCTCAGTCAGTTAAGCATCTGACTCTTGATTTCGGCTCAGGTCATGATCTCATAGTTCGTGCCCCGAGTTGGGCTTTTTGCTGGCAGTGTGGAGCCCGCTTAGGATTCTCTCTCTCCCTCTCTCTGCTCCTCCCCAGTTCTTGTCTCTCTCTCTCTCTCTCTCTTTCAATAAATGGACATTACAAAATATATATATTAAAAAATAAACCAGGCAGATTTCTTCCTCAATTATGAAAATTATAATGTCTAGAACCCAAAGTAACCAAGAGAGCACTGAGGAGATGGGCGTAGACAATTCT